GGTGTAAATACATACATGCTGTTCAGATAGCCATGGCAATACATGGAATTAATAAGAAAGCATGTCGCAAATATAACGTTAGCGTTGACCGACACCTTGAATACGGAGAGATCTGCGCACTGACACGGTGACCTGGCATGGGCAGAACAGGTAATTGGAATATAACGATGTTGATTTCACACCAATAAGTTTCAGAAAAGATTCAATCTTATATACGGATAAATCTTCTACTTTTGTTGTTGTAATGAAATACACTTTTCCAAGTAGTTTTCTGATCGTCTGCAAATCATACTGATTCGGTCATCGATATCGGCAGAATGTGTACACTTAAAGGCAGTCATTCCCACGAGGACCGCCAACAGCAGAATTCGCGAGACATGAAAAACACCAAACAATTGTGATTTCAGCAAGTCTCCTTCGAAAAGAAAAGATAGGAATGTATTTGGCTGTTTTGAACCCGTTGATATTTAATTTTCAAACTCAAACTTTTATCATTATCGGTTGAATTCACATAGATGTTACCTTGTAAATTCCTGCCGGTTAATAGGATCACGCGACCTTGACTCTTTGCGGTACACAAACTTGCTAACTTCGCCACTTTACCCATGTCGTTTCGACACATTCATACTGTCAAGATTGAAGACTTCATCATGCTTTTACCCAAGAACACCATTTTAACCACAGAGTGATAAATGCGATGCAGTTCTTCGTTGTTTCCCCATGCGTGGTATTTATCAATTCACAACGTAACGTCTACTCCAACAATGTTAGAGGTTTTACACGGCGAAAAACTTTTGACAGGCGCCGCGTAACCTTTAACTGCCCATAGCTGATTTTCCCGATGCTTACGATCACATTTTCAAAGTTCGGATTAAGAAAGAGTGTATCGTGTTTACATACATTTAAATGGTCAAAAGGGTCCAATAAATATTCCTTTCCATAAATCAATGACTATATGAGAAAAATTTCGTGTCAAAGACATAAATAATGAGTTTTTCCTACTTCGAAGCGAAGCAGACAGCATTTGCCATGATTTTTCCAGTTAATACAAAAATGGATTACATGTAATGTTTCACAAGCGGAATACAAACAAACTCCGTATTATTTCGTTCCGTTTGAAACCCCCCTACTATTTTGTATTAATCCAGAAGCCATGTTTTAAATGTAGGTCAGAGATGTGCTACAACGACATGGACATGTATTTTGAGTGTTCTATTCCGTAATATACTATATATTTGTGTCTGTGACATA